AAGCCAATCCTTTGATTTGAGCGACATCGCGACAACACGCCACACGACAACGCGACGTTTGGCGTGCTTCGCTAGCTACAAGTAGTCGCACAAAAACGTTCCAAATCAGCCACCATAGAAATCAACTTTATTTCTCAACTGGAATGATTTGGAGTGCGGGTAACTGATGCCTGCACTCCAGTTAACTTACTGTGCATGTATATGTATACGATTTAACTGTGACTCTTTTTCAAATTGGCAGATGGCGCAAGTCTTTTGTAGAACATGGTCAAAGGAAATGCACTTTATGTAATCAAAATGATATTGCCGATGAATTCCACTATATGTTAAAATGCCCTTTCTTCTGTTTTAGTAGGAGAAGCCTTATTCCAAGTAAATATTTCAATCGACCGAACACACTAAAAATCAAATTTGCTTCTCGTATGCGTGTTTTTATTTACATTTTAGCGCCAGAAAGTCAGTGGTAATTCATATTATTGTTGCATTAAATTAAAAAGATGTTTTCTTCTAAAGTTCTTAAGATTATTTTAAAATAGATACTCTATTGTGCGTATGTTGTATTTATGGTCATTTGAACTTCACTATGACGTACTCGACATGCGCATTCGGACATGATAAGAAAAAAAGTTCAAATCAAACTCGTGAATAAAAATACGAGCATAAAAGTGGTTACAGATATCTAACTAATATCTTCGTTACATATGTATTATTCATGTCTTGTGTTTTTCGAAAGATGTCAGATTTAATTTCATTGAAATATTTAAAATGAAGCTTACAGATTAAGATTTTCATTACAGCAAAGCAATGATATAAAAAGCCTAACTTCTCTGGCCAATACGGCTAGCTGTTTTCAGCCAAATAGCAAAGCCAATATGAGCTTAACCCATTATTTGTATTCTTATTATATGGTATTTACTGACAATCTTTCATAGGATAAAGCGACTTGGCGAGTAAAATATCACTTGACCTTTGACCTAGTGACCCCGAAATCAATAGGGGTCTTCTACCCAATATGGACAATCATCCTATGAAGTTTGAACATTGTGGGCCAAATGGAACTTAAGTTATGCTCCGGAAACTGTTTTCAGTATCAAGGCAATAGTGACCTTGACCTTTGACCTTGTGACCCCAAAATCAATAGGGGTCTTCTGCCCAATATGGACAATCATCCTATGAAGTTTGAACATTGTGGGTCAAATGGAACTTAAGTTATGCTCCGGAAACTGTTTTCAGTATTAAGGTAATAGTGACCTTGACCTTTGAACTTTAGACCCCAAAATCAATTGGGGTCTTCTACCCATTGTGGACAATCATCCTATGAAGTTTGAACATTGTGGGCCAATTAGAACTTAAGTTATGCTCCGGAAACCAAATTGCTAACGGACGGACGGACGTACAGACAGACGGACGCCAGGGGGTATAACATAATATGCCCTTTCGGGCATATAAAAAATAATATAATACTACTTTAATCGTGATTTTAACATAAATTTACATCTTGCGACATTTAACGGTAGTGTTGCGACATTTAACGGTAAGGGAAATTCGTGCGACATTTAGCGTTAACATTGCGACATTTAACGGCAAATGATTTTGCGACATTTAGCGGCGGTTGCGACATTTAGCGGCAATGGTGCGACATTTAGCGGCGAGTGCGACATTTAGCGGCGTTGCGACATTTAACGGCGCCACACATACATTTTATTCTACTCCTTTAATGAATAATTCAGCTAGGAGCCGACCCTCACTTTTACGAATTCTATATTTAAAAAAAAATAAAAAAAAATAAATAAAAAAGTGACTAAAATCGCGCGAGAATGAGAAGACGCTACTGACGTTGTTACCATGACGTTACATCGCGACAACGTTAAAACGTTAAGAAACCTTCATTGCAAACAGCTGCATTTCTACATCGTCTGCATATGATTATAAAAAGTAACATGGAAGTTGAAATTGATACTACAACCAGAAATAGTATTTGGAAGCGTTTGTCAAGAAACATCAGTCAAAGCAAACTCGGAGAGTTCGCACGAGCTGTCAACAGAGTATTTTCAAGCATCAAGATCTGCAGGAAAAGTAGTGAAATCAAAGTTCCATCTCACAAGTCGTCTGCATTTGTTTATCCAGATGACAGATACCTCTGTAATGACGAAATTCTGCGTCAGCTTGAGGTCCTAGAAAGAAGATTCAATCAACAGACAGATATTTTTGCCAGAGCACAAGGTAAAACTATTTTTTATGTTGATACTTTCTTAAAATCTGGTTTACCTATGTAACATTAATAATGATGATGATGATGATGATGATGATGATGAATGATGAATGATGAATGATGGTGATGATGATGATGATGACGACGATGACGATGATGATGATAATAATAATATTAATAATAATAAAAATAATAATAATAGTAATAATAACCATTATAATAATAACAATAATAATAATAATAATAATAATAATAATAATAACAATAATAACAACAATAATAACAACAACAATAAAAATAATAATAATGATAATAATAATAACAATAATAATAATAACAACAACAACAATGATAATGATGGTGATTATGATGATGATAATTATAACAATGGGGCTATTAACTGGTGCTGATGATAGGAATTTTAACAATAAACGATGATGACCATAATGATGATGACGACGGCAATGATAATGATAATGATGATGATGACGACGACGACGTAATGAAAAGTTTAGTCAAGACGACTTAAAAATTATAACCGTACTTTATTTCTACAGGTAAAGAAGTTCATTTCAAGAAAGCCAAACCATACCACGGAGATATTTGCCCAGACATCAAACCTGACCCTCTGCCATTTCTCACGGCAACCATACGTCCTGCCCGTTACACCGAGGAAAAGTTTACTGAGCTAGAGAAGTTGGTGGAGCAAGTAAAGGAGAGGAGAGAAAGATTAGATAGCCATGTTCCAAACCAACATTAAACATTTAAACAGGTACAAAGTTGTATACGCTATTTCACCAAATAATTTGCAAATTATTCCCCAGCTTTCCATATAACTTATGTAAAAACGTGCCTATTTTATGTCTTTGTAAAAAGAAATCCCAATTTAGTTCATTGAATCCATATTATTATTTTGATGAAATGGACTTTTGTACATAATAAGCGTTCAAAAGTTTTTAAGTTCTTATATGCTAAGGATTTGTTATGCATCTTTTTGTTTTAATTATGTATCTTATTATGCTTTATAAGTCATACTATATCTAAATGTGTTTTTTCTTTCTGTTTTCAGAAATCTTATCCTGAACTTGATATTGGACGAGCTGGCAGTTTTTTTATTTAATTTTTTTCTTTACATCCATAAACTTTTTTTCTGCCAAAATACACATTTAGTATTGCTGGAATTCTGTCTTATCTTATGCTATTACCTCCCTGTGTTGTGTATTATGTTGTACTCTATTCTCCAGCTAAGCTCCCAGTACAGAAAGACTTTTTTTACCGACGGTGCCATTTGCTGGCTACAACAGCTCTTGCCTGCCCCCGAGGTTATAAAAATTGAGGTTACTGTACGCTTGGGTGCTCATTGACCACTGTACATTTAATAACGGTCGGTTAGAAATCAATTTCTTTGGCTAATACGTGTACTCATTGGAAATTGAACGGAGGTAAATTATCATCACTGTGTGCTTCAAAATTGACTGTTTAAGTGACACGTCCGAGGTCCGTACTCAACAGCGAAAGCATGTCACTTGTAAATATTTTTGTTTGTTTGTTTCGGTATGGTTTTCACATAGACCAGCAAAAACGACCAAAATCAAATGTTATTATTTGTCTCTGTTTTAGACATATAAGGCATATCAAAGCTTGTGGTGAACTATGTCGTGATCCAGGGTCTTTCAAAGATACTGCGTGATCTAAACCAACTGAAGAATATATTTGAGCCGCGTCAAGACAAAACCAACGTAATGCGTTTGCGACCAGCATGGATCCAGACCAGCCTGCACATCCGCTCAGTCTGATCAGGATCCATGCTCTTCGCTTACAAACCCTATTACAAGTAGAGGAACTGATAGCGAACAGCATGGATCCTGATCAGACTGCGCGGATGCGCAGGCTGGTCTGGATCCATGCTAGTCGCAAACACACTATGTTGGTTTTGTCGTGACGTGGCTCATTAATATTTATCAGACACGAAGTACTATTGTGATGTATTATGACAGTATCAATATGATACCTATCCAATAATGTATATATGAGAGACGGCAATTTCGAAAAAATGTTCGTTTTGTCCCGGTCTCCCGATCACATATAATTGTAGTCGTTGTATAAATATGGAACGCCGTGACTGTCTTATGTAATCAATATTTTTGTTATCTTGTGAAACGATGATATTATTTTGTCGTTTGAGCATGTTAACATGTGCAATTTACATCATGTCTTGTCAAAGGAACATGCTGACTTGTACACACAGCATGTTGGCTTGTCAAATTATCTTGGTGACATGTGCAGATAACATGCTAACTTATCAAAGTATCGTGATGACTTGTGCAAACAACATGTTAACTTGTCAAAGTATAATGATGACTTTTGCAAATGACATGGTAACTTGTCAAAATGTAATGATGACTTGTGCAAACGACATGTTAACTTGTCGAATTATCGTGATGACATGTGAAAACAGCATGTTAACTTGTCAAAGTGTCGTGATGACTTGTGCAAACGCCATGTTAATTTGTCAAAGTATAATGATGACTTGTACAAAGGACACGTTAACTTGTCGAATTATTGTGATGACATGTGCAAACAGCAAGTTGAGTTGTCAATTTATCATGGTGACTTGTGCAGATAACATGCTAACTTGTCAAAATATCGTGATGACTTGTGCATCTGTCGATGAGTCTTGGCTACTTTTTAAAGATATGTTTTTATCAGTTTTAAATGTAGTGGCTCCTGTAAAAGAAGTAAGACTTAAACAAAGGAGTGAACCTTGGTTAGACTCTAACATATTAGAATTAATTAATATGAGAGATTATTTTTTACAAGAATTTAGAAAACATAATCAGAAAGATATGTATAATAAATACTGTCTTTATAGAAATTTAATACAGAGACATATAAAAAAAGCTAAGTCTGGATACATCTCACATCAATTACAAAGAAATAAATATAAATCCAAAGAAATTGTGGTCTCAATTAAAAGACCTTGGTTACAGTAAAAAACCCAAATCTTCACCAAATATTGTACTTAACATAGATGATGAAAATTGTTTTTGAACCAACAAAAATTGCTTGTCATTTTAATCAGTTTTTTTACTACTGTTGCTTCTGTTTTGGTGGATAAATTGCCAAATCCATTTAACCTTTTTTTCTGTAGAATCAGACATCTTTAAAGAATTCTATAAGAACAGAAATCCAGATGGAAATAAATTTCAATAACATACTGTTAGTGAAGAATATATATATAAAGAGCTTTGTAAAAATTAAATTGTTTCTAAAAAGCACAGGATTAGATGAAATTCCAGCAAAATTTCTTAAAGATGCTGCAAACATTTTAAAGATACATATTACCTTTTTAGTGAATAATTCTATTACATCTAAAATCAGTTTCCCAAATGAACTGAAATGTGCTAAAGTCAAACCATTATTCAAAAAGAAATAACAGATCTGATGTTTCCAACTATAGACCTGTCAGTATTTTATCTATTGTTTCAAAAAATCTTAGAAAGAACTGTATATAATCAGTTAGAATTTTTTTTTTAGTTAAGCAGCGGACTATTTATATGAATTACAAAGTGGTTTTAGATGTAATTATTCTACTGACTCCTGCCTAATCCATCTCACTGACCATGTAAAAGTCAAACTTCTAAAGGACTGCTCACCGGTATGATTATGTTAGATTTACAAAAGGCGTTTGACACTGTGGACCATGACATCTTGTGTAGAAAGTTACAAAAAATGGGTGTGGAGTCAGTAGAATGGTTTCAATCTTATTTAACTGGTCGTAGTCAAATTGTAAAATGTAAATAATACTATGTCCGAAGCTATGAATATTACATGTGGTGTTCCTCAGGGAAGTATATTGGGTCCTCTATTGTTTCTATGTTATGTCAATGATATGAGTATTAGTATTAGCAAAAATGTAAGCTTATTCTTTATGCAGAGATGATAGTGCAATTTTATATTCACATAAAGATCCAGATGTTATTTGTAATGTTTTGGGTAAGGAACTAGAAAATTGTAGTAAATGGCTTGTTGATAATAAGCTATCATTACATCTTGGTAAAACAGAATGTATTGTTTTTAGTTCTAAGAGGAAATTGTCAAAACTAGAGCAGTTTAAAAATACACTGTAATAATCACACCATACAATCTCAGCCATCAGTAAAGTATCTCGGTTCTATCTTGGATAATGATCTCTCAGCCACTTCTATTGTTGATAATATAGTACAAAAAGTAAACTCTCGATTAAAATTTTTGTATAGACAAGGCAACAGTTTGAATATGGAGCTAAGAAAAACTATTATGTAACTCTTTAATACAGTGTCACTTCGATTATGCCAGCTCATCTTGGTATAGTGGCCTTACTAAACAACTTAAACATAAACTTCAAGTAGCACAAAACAAAGTTGTTCGTTATATTCATGGTTATTCCTCTAGAAATCATTGAAAGTTATTGATTTTAGCCAGTATTGGGTGGCTTTAATATAGAAAATAGAGTCATGCAGTTAAGACTTAATCATGTACACAATATTTAATAAAAAGTGTCCATCTTATATGTATGATAACTTTTCTTTAAAGTCTGATGTTCATTGTTATAATAGTAGAAACAGTGTCGGGAACTTTCATATACCATGTTAATAGTTTTACAAAAAGTACATTTTTTACCAGGGTATTAGGGATTGGAACATGCTCCCACTTGATATTAAAAAGGAAAGTAACTTTTTTAACTTTAAAAGAAAGTAAAAGCTGAACTAAGCAAAAATATGAAACATTTGAACAAGCTGATTTTATTTTTTATTAGTTTTAGAGATAATTGTTTTAATCAAATATAGTATGTTTTATATGTTTCTTGTGATTGGTTTTGTGATATATATAAATAGATATCTTTCATTGGTGTGTTAACTAGTCATATTCATAGTATTATTCCTGCAAATATGTGATATATGTAATTAACATAATGTGCAATAGAAATTAATATTATTTGATCTTAGAAATTTAACATCAGTCCAGTATATCATCTCTAAGTATGGACCTGAATGCCAGTTCTCAAGAAAATATATTCTTTACCATCAAAGGACCCATTGGAAATAAGTTCTCTATTTTATATTGAACTTTCATGGGTTATCCTGTGTTGTATATATTGTCTTGAAGTCAACAAGATCTTTGATTTAATTATGAATGTAAAGTTATTATTTTTCAATTAATTACTGTGTTAAAAACAATGTGATAGATATAACTGTGATAAATTGTCTTAATTTGTTTTTTTGTAATATGACATATATATATACACAAATAAATCAATCAATCAAACGACATGTTAACTTGTCGAATTATCGTGATGACATGTGCAAACAGCATGTTAACTTGTCAAAGTGTCATGATGACTTGTGCAAGCGCCATGTTAGCTTGTCAAAGTATAATATGGAAACGTATATGGTACACCATGATGATATGATTAAGTCTACTTTTTAGGTAGTCGACTTGTTTATGAATTAAGCAAAAGAAGAATGAACTGTACCAGTTTTGTCTAACGGTAAGCTATTTTTTTTCTGACATAAGTTTAATGCAACATTTTTTTTAAAATATGCCCATGCCGAGCGTATGCTATGTCAGCTTATCCACATAATTTGTACATCCTTCTTGCCCTGACTTACCTAGTTCTTATTAAGCATGTTGATAAAATCCTTTTTTATCTCGCTTCGCTATATAAATATTTTGTCAAAAAGAAATAAGTCGACTTAACGTCTATTATAAAGTACAAAAAGTTACATAATTTTAATAAGTAGACATAGGAACTTAAATATGTTAATCGTGATAATATCATTTTTTAAGGACATGAATATATTGTCATATGGAAAACGATATATAGCTACAAATAGAATGATGTATATAATCACGATAGAGAGGATTGAGATACTTGTAGGACGAAATGATGTACGCCAAGATATATATATATAAAGAATGATATGATATATATATAGATAAGACGTTATAAAAGAACACGATTTGTAAGTCGTAAAATAAACGACATATTACATAAATAACCGTGTATTTTGTAAAAAACTGGTATGTTGACATGTTCGTATATATATAAGGGTGCTATAGATAATAAATAGATAGTCGACTCCCGATATTTAGCTGTCTTGTCATTTCTGTTATAGACGACAAGTACAGATCCATGACA